CAGGTGGCCATTTAATATCAAACTTTTTTATGTCTTTATTTCTGTTGTTCACGTGAACCTAACCTAGTGTAGTTTAAGATCCATAGAAAAGATCTGGAGTTAAAGGGGAAATCTGTGCCTCTAAATCTATATGCCATACAGGATCTGAGTGGTGGTCGTAAACAAACCGTACAGTGTTCCATTTGTATTATGTAGTTTTTACACATACGCATGCACGCTCGCGCGCACACACACTCCACAGATTTGTATGCATGTTTCTATTCCATGTTAAGACCAGCTAAGAAAAAATAGACAAAGATTGAAGAAGACTGGGAGAATAAACGTGGTAAATGTTGCTGTTTTTTACTCATGGCTGCTGTGCCTTAGATGCAGAGAACTGTGGTGCATGCTTCTTGTCAGTGCTGTTTTCATCAGTTTTCTTGCTGTTGTCCACATAAAGACACATGACTAACTTAAGCATGTTTAAGTACAAAATTATTATCTCTGCTTTTTGTTTTGCATTCTCCTTTATCATTTGTTAATATTCTTACTTTTGTGGTGAAACATGCCTAGAATATGCGCAGTCATAAGCAGAGTCACAGTAAATTCTGGTTGAGGTCTGAAAGTAATACCAGTCGTGGTGATGGAAGTAAAGTTGCAGTCTCTGGCCCTATCTGTGGGCCTTCAGAATCTAACAAGAAGAGATGCACATACCTGAAAGTTAATTCACAGTAAAAGGGAAGCTGCCAGGGAGGGAAGTTTTTGATCATTCTCTTGGTTGAATTCCTATAATTTTGCTGTTCTTAGGACACAAAACTTAATGGCACTCATATTTGCTTTCCCCAAAAGGCAGCTAATTCTTTTATTCAGTCAGGACTTCCTGTTTCATTTCAAGCAAGTAAAAACTGTCTAATTTAAACACTAATTATTTGTTGAGTTAAATCAAGTTAGGTAGTAGGTCTTTTTCTGGTACCAGGTTTTATCTATTTTAATCTTTGTCTACTTTTATAAGTACAATTCATAATAACAGTGCATTTTAAACAACATTTTTACTTTGAAAATATTTTTTTCTATTTTATTTGGTGTTGTGTTATATCTGTTTTGTTGAACCTGTTTATGTCAGATATTAAGTATACTTGTAGCACTTTGTCTTTTTGAGAACTGTTTTTAGAGCCATGTGTGCATAAAAGTCTTTCCTGGTCTAGGAGGTGAGAAAGCAGAGAAGTTGTAGACTAACATAATAACATAATATCTGAGGACCTTTACCTGGGAGAGAGAAAAGGGAGCTATTGACAATTTGGATGCAGCCACCAACTGCGTATTGCTACCCATATGCTAGGTAGCAACAGTTACCTGAAGCCTAATGCTTCTGCACAGAGCTCTTTTTGCATGGTTAAATACCCATCTCTTCACAGAAAATAGGAAGTAAGCAGATAATGAGAGTTTTAAGATTTAAATAACCAGGGGAGGGTTCCTAACATCTCAGAGGGTGTGATTCTTAAAGCAAGCTTTTGGTAATGTCTTCATCTTCCTTAGAAGACTAATGCCAACCTCAGAATTAGTTGATAAATCTTCCCATCCCTTCTGTTTTCTGAAATGTGTAGAACAGGTCCAAAGACTTCCGAAAGTATTTGTAAGTTTCCTTGTGAGGTATCTGTAGAGTCTGGTGCTGGCATTTAATATGCTTTACCCTTCTCTTCTGTTCATGTTTCAGAATAGCTTAGCAGCTGCATTGATCTTCCCGAGTCACCTTTTTATTGCTCTCCATGGTATCCTGTTTTCAGTTTACTTGATTTTTTTCTCTGACCTTCTATTCTTTTGTCCATTTTGCTTTGCTTTAAGTTACTTTTTCTAATTTTATTTTGGTGAATGTAGAAAAGACATTATCTTAAAGCCTTTCACTTGTCTAGTACATTTAATGCTGTAACTTCTCAGTGCTGCTTTGCAGAGAGAATCCTGTATTTTTGGTCATTCACAGTCTTTGCAGTGTTGTCACTTGTCAGCTAAAATAAGAATTGTAATGCAAGTGTGAAGGGATAAAGAAGAAAGTGTAACATGACTGTTTCATACGTATTTTGCAGCCTTGTATTAAGAATCCAACATGATTTAAAGCATTGTCATTGTAACAAAAGTAACCTCCTCTGTACTTATTAAGGGTATTTCAGTATAATGGTCCATACAGATAATACTGATATGAAAAGAAAATAATAATAATGGGAAGAAAACTTAACTTTATTGTAGTGTTCCCGAAATAATTATACGGAAACTGTATTCATTTAAACACTGCTTGGCCCATTAGTTTCAGCCTCTTATTGGCTAGCTCTTATATATTGATCTAACCCATTTCTAATAATCTGTGTAGCCCACGAGGTGGCTTACCAGGGAAGATCTTAACCTGCATCTGTCTGGAGTGGGAGAATCATGGCGACTCCCTGATTCAGCTTCTTTCTCCCAGCATTCTGTTCTGTTTACTCCGCTTACCTAATTTTTGCCCTATTAAAGGGCCAAGGCAGTTTTTTTATTTAACCAATGAAATCAACACAAAACAGAAGACTCCCACATCACTTTATCAGTGATCTCATCAATACCCCTTGTCGACTTGTGTTTCATTTGACTAGAATGTAAGATGGTACAGCAAATCACCTTTATTATTTAAATTTGTTTCTAAACTATATAATGTTAAGCCATATGTTCATATTTCAACCATTCTGCAGAAACTTGCTTTAACTCGGCTTTGGATAGTCTTTTAGTTCATGTATAAATTAATATCAGGACTATTTAGTGGACTTCTTGCTCAGCATACTAGGTTCTGTCTTCAGTTCCACATAAAACCAGGTATGTGTATGCCTATGGCCCCTTCATTCAGACCTCCAGTCTGAGCTACATGAGACCCTGACTCATTCATTAATGGATAGGACGGATGGATAGATGGGTTAGACCAACACCAATGCTCCATAAAAATGATAGTTAACTTTTATTAAACATTTTGCTCTGTATTAAGCATTATACCACATACTCTTCATTTATCCCCACAGTTGAACTTCAGCCATTGTGGAGCGTACAGACATTTTCACTCTAGCTTACTGTTAAGGATTTAAGGTTTAGGAAGTGAGTAGTCTCTGGTCCTGGAACTACATGGAATAGTTGGAACACTGTCCATTCTCCTCCAGGGGTCTTAAGATACCATGTGCCTGTCTTTATCTGTATATATTTTAAGTCGCTGTTGGAACAGCGATGTTACCATCAGGTGTCACATGTTCCATTCAAAAACAGCTCATATGTACATGGTGGTTCTGTAACAAAACACCAGTGAGTGGCAGCTGTCAGAGGTTTTTAAGTACTCTTTATTTTTAAAAATCTATTCTATAATGTGTGCACAACAGCAAAATCATCCAACTACAAAACAACTCAGAAAATCAGGGAATGTCCTCACAGTAAACTATGTTTGGCTGAATTGGCTTAAATAAACAGCCTGTTGGAAGTCACTGCTTTCAATTGCCATAGTAATCTTAACTTACAGAAAGATTGTTTTATCATCCATTAACTCGGAAAAGGAAATTAATTTCTGGTGAAACTCGCTCTTCTAAAGAAACAATGTATGTGCTCTATATGTTTGGGGTTAAGTGCTTTGCTTGGCTCATCCAGCTTAATCTCCACAATAGTTCTGTGAAAGCCAAGTACTTCACTCTCTCTCCATCTTAAATTATGAAAGCACATATACACAGAACATAAATAACTTGCCTAGTGTCTAGTGGTGATGAAGTGTGTATTCCTAACCCTTACATCATACTGTAGGAAGAGGTAAAGAAGAAAAATATGATTTCTGTTCCTGGAATTTGCATCCCATTGAGAAAGAAAGAATATACATGTGAAATGTGGCAAAATACTATACAAATGATTGCTGTGGTTTTGAGGGAGGGAACGCTTACCATATCTGTAAAAATGATGTGGATAAGAGAAATCTTGAATTTGCATGGACTTAGGGAATCTATTATACTTGCATTAATGAGAAGGAAGGAAAGCACTGATCTCAGTGAAAAGGATGGGAAATTGAGGCACTTGAAAGCACGGCTGGTAATAGCTATGGAATGTTAAGGCTTTGACATCTTTATCCAGGGTTTGGTGAATTGACTAATCTAAGCTAAGTGAATAGTATTGTTATTGAGAAAATAAACTTTTAGGCATTTTGCTACTCTGTAAAATCTGAACTCTCCTTTAAAATGAAGCAAATTGGAATTAGAAGTATCATGGCACTGTAGAAAGAAAAACTATTCTTTTTTAGCTTTACATTTGATGTATAAAAAGACCCTTATCCAAGGGTAGTTTGAAGATTAGAAATTATGTATATAGCACAGTACCAAAAATACAGAAGTTGGTCACTAGAAAAGATAATGTCTTAACACTGCATCCCTGTTATCAAGATTAAGTCATGATCTTCTGGCAACCATGCGATGATGAGTTACTGTTTTTGGTCATAGAACACTAAGATTTTCAAATTAGGTCATCTCCACACACTAAGTGGTAAGTTGCATTCATTAGAAACCATGCCTGCTTTTGTTCACCTTTGTCTTCCTAATGCCTGGCGGTGTGCTTGCTTTACTGCACCACTTTAGTAAATACCGAAAGAATTAAATGATTATAAGTTTAATTTCTGATAATCATATAGTCATGGAAAATACAAAATCTTAGTACTTTAACTTAGCAGTCTTCTGTGGTTGCATATCGACAGTATGCTGACTGAACTCATTTGAGGTAATGAAACACAGTGATACATCTCATTGCGTTTAGCATTATTACTTAAATTGTTTTCAGCTTGCCTAATCATGAGTTGAGTACCATATGTTATTATGCAGACTGTGACTTCTTTACATTTTCATTTTACTTTGCCAAAAATAGAATTTTCGTAAAACTCAAGTTTTTATAGAAACTTTTTTTAAAAAAAAAATCAGATGCCTTGTTTTGTTTCCCTCTTCAGTCTCTTATCCATATAAATGTTGTTTTTATTTGGCTGCTCTGACAAGGGAGAAGATGTTAACCGGACACTAGAAGGTGGAAGGAAGCCTCTTCATTACGCAGCAGATTGTGGACAGCTGGAAATCCTGGAATTTCTGCTGCTGAAAGGAGCAGATATTAATGTATGTATTACACATACATTAGTACTTAATGGTATATGTATAATAGATGTCATTCTAGAAAAGTCTGTCATGTTTCAAGGAATTCTTTGCTGTAGGTTTATGAGTTACTTTAAATAATACAGTCTACACAAACCATTCATTTTTTGTTCATGAACTGTTTATCGTCTCCCCCACTTGGCTATTGCTTTTCAAGTTCTAAAGCTTGGCGAGTTACCACTGTAGGGTAGTAGATGCTCTCTGTCATGTAATGGAGCGTAGGACCTGGAAGTGGTAGGCTACACTAGCCTAGACCATGAGATAAATGTGACAAAGTCATTAGGCTAGAGTTGTAATTTCAGGATTTTAGGAAATCGTTTAGATAATAATAATAGTGAAAGAGGTAACTTTTTAATATGTCAGTTGACCCAACTTGGCTGTCTAGTCTTGTCTCCTTATTGGTATTTTTACCTCTCCTTCCCTTTTGAACCACACTGGTGTTTCTACAATAGTGGAGAAGCTAAGTGTGGAGAAACTAGTCACATAAGGGGCAGATAAAAGATTCGAGTTTAGGTCAGATTTCCTCTCCATGCTGATTGCCAAGAGAAGACACTATGTGTGTACTTTTGCTTCTTGGTAACTTTTAAAATGACTGGAAACTTGTAATTTTCACAGAAGGAAAAATGGTATTAATTTTGAGAATTCACTTAAGAATTCCCTAATTAGATAAAGAAAGAAGATTTAAAAAGAAGAAAAGTACATAAAATTATCTCTTTGATGTCTATAGGCTCCAGATAAACATCATATTACCCCTCTTCTGTCTGCTGTCTATGAGGGTCATGTTTCCTGTGTGAAATTGCTTCTGTCAAAGGTAAGGTCAATGTTCATTTTATCGCTTATTTTAACTAAACTGAGTGTGACTGCAGAAACAGAAATCTTACTAGACCTGGATGGAGGTGGGTGGTCCCTGGACTTCCCACAGGGCAGGGAACCCTGATTGCTCTTTGGGCTGACAAGGGAGGGGGACTTGATTGGGGGAGGGGGAGGGAAATGGGAGGCGGTGGTGGGGAAGAGACAGAAATCTTTAATAAATAAATAAATAAAAATAAAAAAGAAATTGAGATCTAGAACAGTGTTGGTTATAATTGCTGGCTACAGACTGTTTGCTTCCAGTTTGTGCTTGGCCTAGTTTCCTTCTTAAAAAAATCTTGTTAAGTAAAAGAAGTCAGCTAAAGCAAGCAAGCATTAATGGCATAAAAATGTTATCATGAATGAGTAAATTTGCATCTTGGTACAGGGTGATAGAGCACACTTTAACAGAGGTTAGGAATTTTACACTTTATTATTGTAGTCTATACTGAGGAAGATCAGAAGTGCTTAAGAGCTCTCTAGTTTGTTGATATCATTGAGGCATTGATGAGTCTGGGAGTTTTCTGATGTTCCTGTCTTTGTTAATACACAATAAGAGTACAGGATCCAGCCTTGGGAATAGCTAATTACTAACAACCATTCTAGCTGTGTTGTATTCTATAAGGGAAGAAATCTCTATAGAGTAAGTCACCACGTTTGCATTTTATGACCATACACTGACTCATTTCCACTTGGGATCTTAGATTACAGCCTGCTAAAAGAAAGCAGTAAGGAAAAAGAAAAAGAAATTAAAATTAGTAAGTGTGTATATATAAAGATTTGTCAAGTCCTGATGCAAAATATTTATGTAATCCGTAGAGAATAGTTTTTATTGTAACTAAGACTGAAGGTGGGCTTTGCACATGCTGCTTAGGTTTCAATATAATAGAACTGGGGAAGATAAACACTTGTCTTAACACTTACTCACTATCTCCTTAGAGCTCTACAGTGCATCCTTAACACTGGTGTTGAGTTCTACTCTTTGATCCATATCAAAAAATAACTAGGTAAATGTGTGGTTAAGAGCATTGCCTGCTCTTCCAAAGGTCGTGAGTTCAATTCCCGGCAACCACATGGTGGCTCACAACCATCTGTAATGACGTCTGGTTCCCTCTTCTGGCCTGCAGACATACAGACAGAATATTGTATACATAATAAATAAATAAATATTTTTTTTAAAATGCCTTTGGAATTAATCAGAGCAGTTTGTGAGGCCTGGAACGTACCTATATCTATAGATAGAAAGAGATGCAGACTTACGTTTAATTGCTGAGCTGATAAATTAGAAAAATGCAGAGATCCACAGATATTATCAGGCTTCTATTTCAAGACTGAGATCTAACCACATGTGCTTGCTTCCCAGTTTTTTTTTGGGGGGGGGAGGTTATTTGTTGGTTTGGGGGTTTGTTTGTTTATTATTATGTGTGTGGAGGGGGTGTTTCTCCCAACTGACAAAAAGACTTTTTTATTTAATGAGCCAATGCCTTATAGTGGATCATACAAAGGGGATTCATTAAACATTAGATAAGAAATGGTAGTGAACCCTTAAAACAGAAAGCAAAGAAAGTAGATTCAAAGAAAACATTTTGAACTGTATTCTAGATGGGATTTTTACCAAAGGAAAGAGCTGATCCAAGGCTGCTCCACGCCTAGAGGTACAAAATGTTCACTAAGACCAGAGAATTGGTAAAGTGAGTGTGTAGTTTGGAATTATAATTAGCTCAGTTGAATGAAGTTCTCCTTTTTGCCCTAAAAAGTCCTTACCAGGAAATTCTTTGGACTGTAAGCACTGAATATCAATGCTATAAAAATATAGGCCAATCTCATAATCTCAGCACTTGGGTAGTAGAGGCAGGCTAAAGAGTTCAGGACCAGCCTGAGCTACATGAGACCCTAACAAGCATACCATGGATTAGGGCTAGGGTGCCAGTGTTCTGTGCCTTTGCAAACCATGTGGTCTTAGTCATAATTTTGTGATAACAGCTCCATATATTCCATCGAGTAGGAAGTAAAATATCATTTACAAAAACAAGTATTTAGACTTTAGTTTGCCGTCCAGCCCCCACTGTAGCTCACAAGTACTTTGGATTTTATAGTAAGCATCATTCCAAAGCCTTAACTTTAGTGGCAAGGTGGTTCTTCCAAACTTGAATGTGCATGAGCTTGGACTTGTTAACACTTAACTGTTGGAAACAAATGTAGCCAAACAAGAGTTCACAAAACACTGATCTAGGTCTCCATGGTTCATTGCTAAACTCTTGTGATTCATATTTCAAGTGTCAGAGTGATAGCATGAGTACATTATTTGAAGAGGATCAATGGTAAAACCATATATTTTTTTACCTCTACTGTTTTTAGCAAATGGGCTTTTATAAGCCCCAAACTCAGTTTTTTTCAAGTTACATATGTTACTTTTAAGGTAAAAAAAAAAAAAAATGCACCAAGAGAAATATTACTAGATTGCCGGTAGCAGCTTTACAATGTTACATTCAACATTTCTTACATCATTTACCAGGTACTAAATTTTCTACATTATTACTTGTTAAAAATCCCTTATAATTTATATAATTTCTTATAGTTTATAGAAGTGATAACAAAGGATTTTTAAGTAGTTCAGTATCCTTGTTCTTTAATCCTAAGGGAAAAAAATCATTTCTAAATCTGTTAGTATAGGGTGTTATAGAAAAATATCCTACTTCTGTTACCGGCCACTATTAAATGTTACTTTTTTGTGATAAACTGATAGTCAGCAGACTACATTGCTTATGTGGTATGCACTGCTGTTAAAATAATAGGAGCTAGGCAAGGTGAGTTATTCCTGTAATCCCAAAACTCAGAATGCAAACAGGAAGATCTGAGGCCAGCCTGGGCTATAGATCAGGACTGTCTCAAGCAGCCAAAACAAACAAATAAGGTAGGAATCGATGCCCTTTAAATAAACATGTTACATCCCAATAACGTAAGTTTCAAAGCACTATATTTTTACTGTATCTTAGATTATAAAAACAGACATCATATTTAATTTGTTTTCATAAACCATCATTCTGTTACTAATTATATTTAACATTTTGGGGGCTTTATCTTCCAGGAAGACGTCCAAAAGAAACTTATTTTCCTTTCTTTCTTTGCTTCATACTGTGGCAAAGAACTTAACCTCCTTAAGAAGTCTACTTGTAAATGGGGTGGGGGGTGGGGGGGAATCATAACAATCCATTATTGTACAGCTCTAATTTTAATGATTCATGATTATTTGGATCACTCTGTAATCTATTTCTCTCATTTGTTAAGATTTAAACAAAATAGTCTGCTAAGAAAATAGAACCATCTTCTCTGTTAACAAGAACTTTTATTGTTTTTATTGAGCTATACATTTTTCTCTACTCCCCTCCCTCCCTCCCCCTTCCTTCTACCCTCTCCCATGACCCCCCATGCTCCCAATTTACTCAGGAGATCTTGTCTTTTTCTCTTTTGTAGATCCATGTATGTCTCTCTTAGGGTCCTTTTTGTTGTCTAGGTTGTCTGGGGTTGTGGACCTAGGTTGTTTTGGTTTTTTTTTCCTTTACTTTATGTCTAGAAACCACTTGTGAGTGAGTACATATTATATTTGTCTTTCTGGATCTGAGTTACCTCACTCAATATAGTTTTTTCTAGATCCATCTCATTTGCCTTAAGATTTTGAGATGCCATTATTTTTTACTGCTGTGTAGTGCTCCATTGTAAATGTTCCACATTTTCTTTATCTGTTTTTCAGTTGAGGGGCATCAAGGTTGTTTCCAGGTTCTGGCTGTTATGAATAATGCTGCTATGAATATAGCTGAGCCACGTGTCCTTGTGATGAGATTGAGCGTCTTTTGGATAGATACCTGACAGCAGTATTGCTAGTAGATTGTTTTCCTAATTTTCTGAGAAATCTCCATACTGATTTCTAAAGCAGCTGTACAACTTTGCACTCCCACCAGCAATGGAAGAGTATTCCCTTTACCTCACATCCTCTCCAGCATAAGCTGTCATCGGTTTAACAAGAATTTTTTATTATTGTTGTTGTTTAAACTAGCTTATAAATGTAGTGGGTCTCCATATGTACTCTATACTTTCATATGTACTTGTTGTAGTTGATGCTCTCCCCTTCCCTCTTCTCTTCCTCTCCATGTTCCTTGTCTGCACCTAATCCCTTCCCCCACCAGTGTTCTCTGCTTCCACTGTCATTACCTGTCTTCCCTCTACTATTCTTCTCAGCCTTTCTCCCTTAAATTCTTTTTGTTCTATCTTGTGTCCTTTTGTAGTTTCTGGGCCTCTGTACATATTCATTCTCACATACAGCAACAAAAACTTGTGAGCCAGGAGCCACATTAGAGAAAGAATATTTCCTGTTCATCTTTCTGAGTCTTGGTTCTCTCCCTGGACTTTGCAGTTCCTGCTATTGATGTTTTTAACAATGTGGTTTTTGCTTTTTTTTTTTTTTTTTTTTTACAAGCAGCCTCTTGGGCATGAAACTTAGGTCCATTTCAAGTCCCTCACAATGTTGTCACCAGTAAAGCAGCAGGTGTATTTTGTGACTTGAGCTGAGAATTAGATTATATAAGATTAAGGAAGGACTGGGAATCCCTTTGCAGCATAAGCAAATAGGTGAGCCAAAATTATTCACTAACTTAAGCCACAGTTAATGATTATTTGAAACCTAAAAATTTCTATAGAAGTGTTAAGTTTGGCTTCAAATAATATTTAGGGCCTCTGACTCTTAAAGAATCCAACATTCCCTCCTCAGTTGCTTTATTATAAGAGGAGATTGCATCATAAAGAGATTAGCAAAAAATTGACCTAGTAATAACTAAAGAACTGTTACGATAGGTTTATTAATCTCTTAAATAAATGTACCATTTAAGTTCAATATTTTCATCCAGTCAGCTCTTTGAAGCTGGAGCACATCATTATTTCAGATGGTTTCTGCTAGTGACAGGTGCT